CTGGCTACATGACTGCATTTCTAATGCCAACTTCAAATATTACCACCTACATAGTGATCCACTAGGAAATCCTAGAAATGATCACTGTTAATAACCTGAAATATGCTGTTTAATAACCCAATTTCCTTACAGCTTATATATGCAAGATATTAAGTGCAAAAATAAAACGACACCATAAATCATTCACTCATGATGGCCAGCAAATGCTTACTGCAATCTACAGAGTCATTAGTACATACACTCTTACATTATCTCTAAATGTTTTGTTATTATGTGAACTCCTTGTAACTGTTGTAACATCCATTAAATCTGTGCGGATTCCATCCCTGTGACGCGTTATCATTGACATTTAGGGCTGTTAAGAGTGACAGGTTTGATGTAATGACCAGCATATAAGCTAGACTTTGTTAACTATGAATGTGGAGGAAGACATGACATTAAGGATAGCAATATAGTCTGTCATTACTGACCATGGAAATGTTATTTCGGGCTCTTGAAAAAAGGCAGGCATCCCACAGCTTTTATTACTCACATAACATCTCTACTAATGATGCAGAATTAGTTGTAATGGAGGCTCATTAATAATAACATAAAATAAATGAATAAATAAATAAATAAATAAGTGAATAAATTGATGCTGATCTGGCCCATGAATAAAATAGCATGTTATTGCTGCACTCGGACTGTACTAGAGTTTTCATAGGACATGGTGTATGTTAGGGCTGGGTGATATGGCAAACAAACAAATCAATCAATCAATCAATCTTGATTTTTTCTTTTTTTTTAACGTTTAATTAGTGAACTCAAAAATGTAACTACAGCATGATACAAGTAACATTTTCTTTATTAACCATCTAGTTAAAGAAAGTTCTATCCCAAGTGCACCCCACACATGAAATTGTCAGCATGGTGTAAATATAAAACAAATCACTTAAATATCTTTACAGAAAAGATGCATGTAAATATATCATATGTGCAGAAGTAATAAAAATGAAAAAATGTTCAAACAAAGTCTCAAAAGCCAAGATAATTCTAAAATTATAACACCGGTAGACTATTATTAACAATAACCATTTTGTAAAAACAGAGAATATAAGCTTTCAGTCTTGTTTTGTTTTGTTTAGGTTACTTCCACATTGCATGACATATAATACTGAATGGTTTCTGCAATGTTAAAAACTTTCACAGGGAACCTTCTGGGATCAAATTAAGCTGCAAGGTTTTGCTTATCTGGTTCACGAAAAACTAACTAACAAACAAACAAACCAAACTACTGAACATTTCAGACTCTATTTAGTAAATGAGTTTTGAGATTTTAAATCACTGTGCATTTGTTTTAATTCAACTGTTTTAATTCTTTTTGAGACAATGTAATAAGGACGCTGACACTAACACGGCATTGTTGATTATGTTATTAGAACAGCGGCCTTCAGAATTTCCCATTTAGATGAACTGCTTTTAAATTATTCAATATCCTCCATGCTAGCAATGCTCCTGAGGCCATGTGTATTTAATGGTCTTCGACACAGCTTAGCATGTACGTTAAGTTGGTCCAGGTCTTTTGACCTTTCGCTGATGCTTTGACAGTTCTCAGCAGCTACACATAACTTTCTTTTGACTGCTTGTTTTTCCCGGACTTGTGAGTAGCTGCATCAGCCAGTCTTTGGCATAGGAACTTTTTTTACTGACTTTGTCAGTGGTGTCATGAAGCGTGGCAGCTATGGAATTGTGGATTTCTTTAGAAGAGACCCATGACAGGAAGTAAGTTTGCAGTTTAAAAAGGAAAGTCCACACAAAAATGAAAAACTTTTTTTTTTTGTTTGTTTAAGAAAAATGTAATAATTGAGTTTAATCTCAATTATTTAATCCAAAAAGGGCAAAAAGCAGGCCCAAAGTACTCTAAATGACTATATCTCATTCAAATGTATCCATCACCCCAAACAAGGTGTGTAGTAATCATCTTTTGTCATAACGCTTCATGAGGTGGCAAATTTTTAATGAGTGCAGGATTTGACGGTTACATCAGGATGGAACCATGCACAGGGTCTTATCCACAACCCACTGCACTGTAGAGAAAGGTTCAATTCAGAGCTACAAACACGAATAAAAAGAAGTACAAATAAGCTATATATTCATGAGACTGACAGTTAAGTAGAAACACCTTGAAAGGGGTTTGAATGATTGATAATCAATACCTAACTAAATATTTATTTAACATATTTCATCTGCAACAACATTCTGAACTTTTATAAGGATATGGATAAGACAATAGCAAAACAGGTACGTTTGGACACTATTATGCAAAAAAACATGAGCAGAGCTTTCCGCATGAAAACCCATGACTGGCAGATCAGTGTGCTACTTGTTTTCTCTCCAATATGGCAGGAATAATTATTTGAGTAGTGTTTTTAATTTAATTAAATCAAATATGGAATGCGTATATGAGGTTTTAACTGTGACAGCATGATTGACAGGCCAGTTTACACGGACAGAATGCACATAACTGTTCGACAAAGCGCAAGTTTATGATAGTGTGTCCCAAAGTTTGCCTACTCTCCTGCTACTTTTTCTTCTCAAAAATAAATTAGTAGTCGAATTGGGGCACAGCATTTCAAAATCTTCCTAATCAAACACACCTGATTCATTTCTTCAGATCTTTAGTAGGAGACCTGTTTCAAGACCTGAAATGTATGGGTCAGGTAAGGTTGACATTCATAATGTACTTGCCAATATGCCACCAGTAACAGGGTTACTGTTTCTGCGTTGTACCTGTGCTGTAGATGGAATATAATGTGTAAAGGTGTCACAGCTTTGAGAAACGAAAGCCAGATCAATAGGGGAGATGAAGGACTTATTTGCCATGCTGTCCTTGTGCTTCTACTGTTCTACTGTGTATGTCTGGCAGCAGACTATAAAATCAAGGGTAGCACTGCTGCAAAGCCTGCAAGCACCTTGGAACTTAATGTATTTTCACCTTTTAATTTAAGATAAGCCACAGGAGCGGGCCAACGTGGGATGCTGGCGTGGGCAATATATCTCATTTCTCCTCGTTGTTGATCGTGGATCAGTCAAAGGTGCTGAGACTTCAATTCAGCTCTGTCTTTTTTCTTGAATCAAAGTATGCAAGGTTGTGTATGTGTGTGAGAGAGTTTTATTAATCCTTTAAAATGTATTCAGCATATACACAGAAGTTGCCACTAGGAACATAGCAATAATGGCTTTGCAAATGCTAGCAGAAAAAAATACAGCCTACTCTGAATGCAATCGCCTACTGCAGATAACTTTTGTTAAATAAATGACTTTGTGTTTGTTGAGTTCAAGTGTTGCTTTGCAAAGGGATTGCATTTCTGTTTTGGGCTCTTTGCAATTAGATTGAAGTCCACTCCTAATTCTCTGTGCACTTAATGGAACTCAAATGCAGCTTGCATATAGATGTTCATATTAATCTCCCTCTCAAAATTTTACAAGTGAAAATGCTTTCAAGCCTCCTATCAGAGGCATGTTTGCCCCTAAAAGCTGTAGATACAGATACATATCCAAACAGCAGAAGTTAACAGAGAAAATGTGACTGCAGGCTGCCATTTGGCAGGCTATCAGAGCAAAGAATCTCCAGACAGTTTAATCAAATTCTTGCAGCACTGCTCTGCACAGTAAGTTCCAGCAAACACTTGTCACAAACAGGTTGCATTCTCATACATTGACAAGTCTAGGGATGTATCCGATAGTTTCCTACATTCTCACACACTGAGACAGTTCTTACCAAATACAGTATATTGTTAGACATAGAAATGACACACAACACAATACACTGCTTTTCTTCAAACAAACAAATAAATAAATGCATATTGGTGATTAGCTATAGTGTCCTGTATTTGAATATAGTGAGGTTACCAGGTCAAGTTTTAAATATAATGGTTCATATTTATTATTTTAATCATGGATTTAAGGGCATTTTTAAGACAAAATATAAAGTTACAATATAGATTATAAAAATAACAAAAACAAATAAAAATTTAATTTAAATTTTATTATAATTATACTTAATCCAAGTACTAAATAATCATTTTAACTTCAAAGGGACTTCTTAGGCTATAAATACCTAAGAATGTGTCAGGCATGTTTTAGCAATTCAGATATTATTTCTGAATTTGAATTAAGGTACCAAACAGAAAGCATAATTTTTACCTAGAAAATAAATGTTTGTCAGACTTGGAATGATTGCTTGACAGTGCCTAGGCTGTAAGTTTTTATAGGCATAACAGACAGACAGACAGACAAAACAATCTATCGTATTGTTCTGAATATAAGACAACCCTGATTATAAGACGACTCCCCCTTTTTCAAGATGTGCTTTTTGAAGACCAAGACCAGTTCTGTAATTTATTGTTACTTTTGATAATTTAATAATTTATAACTACAATATATATGCATGCTTATACTGTCTTGTTAGTTAACTTTCATTTTATGGAAAAGGGTTCTCAGAATGCTTTTACCTGTTAAATTTAGCGTAATTATAATCTAGTAAATTCCATGTCCTGCAATTTTAATTAATCTCCCATTTCAACTTCCTATGGGGCACAGCCAATAAAATTCCAGCTCATGAAGGAACCGATTATTAAATTAACTTACACATTTGCTTACAATGTACCTCCGTGACCCATGTCATGCACAGGTGGAATGTATCCATCTACAAATCAACAGAGAAGCAGAGGGGAAGCAGAGAAAAAAAATCCTAAACATTTAAAAAAAAAAAAATTCTAAAAAACTTCCTAAAAATATCTGTACTTGTACTGAGTCTCTAAAAATTTTATTCCTACACACATTTATTTTGATGTTTCAAATCGACAAATCAAATGTCCACATCAGTGGCAGGCAGCTGAGTAGCACCTTTCATATTTGACTTTCAGAACTGGCGCAGGTGACAGAGCTTGTATTCTTATGAAGTTCTCCACTTTGCTAATTTGCTTGTTCTCACCCTCCTTTCCCTCTTCTTTCTGCAGGCGTTCAGAACTCAGAGTGATATGGCTGGCGTTCTCCGCAAGCTCGCAGCATGCATCCCCTGCGTGTGGATCTTCCTCATGCTTTTCGACCCCAGCTTGCAAACCGGGTAGGATGACTCATCAACCCTCCCCATCAAGTCAAACTCTCTTACCTTTTCTCTTTTCCCCATGTTGCAGGCTCTAGGGATGCATTGCAGCTAATACATTCATTAATAAGGTTGTATTACTGTGCAGGGGCTTTTACGATCTGCAAAATGCCATTGGAGCCAACCGTAGCTGGCTGTAAATCGTTCGCACAAACTGCCATGAATTGGATTTTCGTTGGTGGAGCGGGCTTGGTTACAAGTGTGACTCAATAAACCTTTAAAGAAACTCACGCTGGAAGAACCTGAGGGATTCCGAGACGAGTTTAGCCTAGATTGCGTTGCAGTGATGCCAGTTGGTTTTCACTGCTCATTAGCCCACTCGTACATGTCAGAGTTGTGAACGTACATACAGACAGAGATTTGGGGGAAAAGGGGATTATGAGTTTGCAATCAAGTGCCAGAGCTAGTGGTCTTCTAAAAACGAAATACAGCATTAAATCATAAAATAGGATCCCTTTCATGACACAGGTCTTTCCTGAACCATTCCAAGTGTGTCTCAAGCTTGTATTCATAAAGGCCCCAAGCAAAATCAAAGAATGAACTGGTATGATGTCATTTCGAACAAAATCTGGGTAAAGCGAAGTTCATTTAGAGTTGGCCAAATGATAATTTTTGTTCAGCCCGTTGGGTTGAGACACAGGGCCAGAGCCACGGAGGGGTGTGATTGGGCGTTGCTCCCTCAACCAGGCTGTCCTTCCCCCTTAGTCAAGATGATTGTGAAAAGGGATTTTAATGATTTAAAAAAATCACAATTGCATTGGCTTTCTAGCATTAAGGTAGGGTAGGTGATTTTGGAGAGGCTAGCAATAGCAAGCTAGCTTTGAAAGCATAAGATCCCACCCTCCCTGCAAATCACTCTCCAAAGCCACGCCTCCTCAAAAACACGTGAATGTGCATAGGAAGACCAGAGGCTAACCAGCGACACTATAAGAGATGGCGTTGGTTGAATGCAACGCTGTCAGATTACCTCAAGTCTCATTCACTGGTGAAAAAAACATTACAACACAAAGCGCATAATATTACAATAATATCGGCTTCCATCCATGCTCGGTCTGCAATACTGAGGGTATTGCGGAGGTATGCAAATACATATGTTGACAGGTAGGTAGGACAGCCTATCGTAGCCATCGAACCAAGGGATATGATTAGACAAACATTTTATGGTCTATACCTTGCACAGACGATATAATACAAATAAATACATTTAGACCACTTAACTTAGTGATTGCGATCAGGATGTGAAGCAACTTTCAACCTGCATAACAAAAAATGTTTTTGAACCAAATTACCTACCCTGCTTTTAATATTAGGCTACTATATCAATATATAAGTTAAGGGTTTTTTTTTTCATATAAGAGAGCTAGATAATTGGGTGTAATTAGTCGATTATTTCACTTAATTGTTTTGTCACGGGTGGCAGTTCTGGCTGTTGTAACTTGCCATAAAATTATGCATCTGTTATAATGATTGTTATGTTAGTGAAGCGGTTGCAATGAGCATGTGTTTTATAGTAAAGTAGTGGTGGTATCATGGTAACTTGTCTGTAATTTTTTATCTAAGACATACTATATCTAGTACTCTAAAGTGTGTTTAAATAAAGTATATAGAGTCAAATGTTCTAATACGTTGGCCTAGGCAGTTTTCCTTTAGAAAGTAATATTATTCAGTACTCTGGCATCTGTTGATTGGTAGCTTTTAATTCCATTGTTGTAGTAAAGACAGGTTTGTTTATAAATATGTTGGCCACCTCACATATAGCTAAAGATAATTTGTATTACGTCATCACCCTCTTTCTATACTTCAACGCCCATTTTTTAGTGCTGCATTCGCTATCGTGATACACCAGTAAAAACATGAACACGCTGGAGAGCGTCTCCTGGTTACGCATGTAACCATGGTTCCCCGAAGGGAACGAGACGCTGCGCCGAAACACTTTGGGAATGCCTTCAGCGTGACCACGCTCTGAATCACATGTGTAATCAGTCCAATGGATGAGCGAGACGTAACGACCAGGAAGCTTAAAAGGACGCAGCGTCTCGTTCCCTTCGGGGAACCATGGTTACATGTGTAACCTGGAGACGTTCCCCTTCAGGAACTCGAGCTGCGTCGAAACGTTTTGGGAATGAGAATGCCCACGCCGCCAGCCTTACAAATCCCTGCCCAGTGTGGAAGCTAGGGCAAGAGAACAGAAGAGCCTGAAGTGGCTCGCATATCTAGGCCATAGAACCTGACGAACGTGAGGGGCATGGACCAACCCACAGCATTGCAGATGTCCTGCATAGGCACAACTGCTAAAAAGGCCTTGGAGGCCGCCACACTTCTAGTCGAGTGAGCCTTGGCCCCCAATAGCGAGGGGAGATCAGAGGACTCATAAGCAATGGAAATGGCATCTACAATCCACCGGCTGAGGGTCTGCTTAGTAGCAGGAAGACCTCTCTTAGCTTCTGCTGGTCGGGCTCCCGGAAGGGAGGAGGACAGAAGGCCTGGAGTACGACAGGCCGTGGTGTAGAGGAGGGGACTTTAGGAACATACCCCGCTCGAGGGTAGAGAAACACTTTGGCCAAAAAGAGCGCAAAATCAATATAGGAAGGGGCCACTGAGAGGGCCTGCAGATCCCCAACTCTCTTGAGAGAAGATATCGGCCGAAGGAAGGAGTCTTTATTGTGAGATGGCGATGAGAAATCTCCTCAATAGGCTCGAATGGAGGCTTACCAAGAGCTTCTAGCACCACAGCCAGGTCCCACGGGGGGACGCAAGATCGTACTGGAGGCCTCAGCCTCAGCGCACCGCGGAGGAAACGTGTAACCAGGGGGTGTCTGCCCACTGACTGGCCACCAATAGGGGCGTGGTAGGCCGCAATGGCCGCCACGTAGACCTTTAGGGTGGAGTGGGTCAACCCTGCGGAGAGACAGGCCTGCAGGAATTCCAGAACTGTACCAACCGGGCAGTTGACTGGGTCGAGCTGGCGGTCTCCGCACCAAGAAGTGAAAAGTTTCCACTTCAGGGCATACAGTTTCCTAGTGGAGGAAGCTCTGGATTGGAGGATGGTCTCAACAACCTCGGTTGAGAGACCAGAAGCTACGAGTTGTGCCCCCACAGGGGCCACACCCACAGCTTCGGGCGGGGATGTGCCCTCCGCCTGTGAGAGGAGATCCCTCCTGAAAGGAATCTCCCATGGAGAGCCGTCAAGGAGTGAAATCAGGTCCGAGAACCATACTCGGACCGGCCAGAACGGGGCTACTAGCAGTAGACGAACCCCGTCCCGGTATGGCAAGCGGTTTTAGCATTAAATACTCCTTGCTGTACTAGTCATAATTTAGTTTTGACTAGTCAAAATTCCAATTCCAGATATCTATTCTGCAATTTTGACTCGTCGTAATTGGAATTAAGATATCTACAATGTGATTATGACTAGTCATTATATGAAGTAAAGATATCTACAATGTTATTTTGACTAGTCATAATATAAATTCGAGATATCTACAATGCTATTACAACTAGTCATATTGTTCCATTGACTTCCATTGGAAAATATTTTCGGATATCTACAAAATAGTTTTGACTAGTAGAAATTGTAATTAAAGATATCTGTAATTGATTTTGTACTAGGCATAATTCTAATTAAAGATATCTCAAATTACAATTCTACTAGTGATAATTAAATTAGAGACATCTCTAACTGAATTAACACTAGTAAAAATTGTAATTCAAGATATCTCTAACTGGTGTTTGACTAGTCATAATTATTTGGAATTCTTCCTAGTCAAATCTCATTTAAAGATATCTGCAATTTAATTATGGATATCTCAATCTGATTTTTGACTAGGAATATCTTTCTTTGGAGATATCTGCATTGAGCTATGTGGCTAGGAAGAATTTCAATGTAGATATCTGGAATTAACTATGTGACTAGTCAAAAATCCTTTATATATATCTAAAATGTGCAAGCAAATGCAGCTTTGTTAAGTCCCACCTTAAACATTTTATTAACCAATCCTAATTGGAAACTGTTGTCATCTGCCATTTTGTCTAAGAGTTGTATAATAAAGGTCCTGTGTCTTTGGGTCATTTTAAACTGTTTTATACAGAAGTAATTCAAAAGTATGGAAATAAAAATGTAGCTGGAGCATGTGTAAAAGTGGTAGACTACACAGAGAAGACTCAGACAGTCTTTTGTCCTATTCTATATCGTAATGTTGAGACGTGTGTGCTGTGGATTAAATTGTTAGACTTTATTTACAAACGAACACATGTAAAATCAGTAGCTAAGGATTTGTATAGGCCTCATGTCAGCTGTTGCAACATTTGATATAATGTTAAATCTCAATCAGATTTTTGACTAGGAAGATCTTTCTTTGGAGATATCTGCATTTAGCTTTGTGACTAGGAAGAATTTCAATGTAGATATCTGGAATTAACAATGTGACTAGTCAAAATTCCTTTATAGATATCTAAAATGTGCATGCAAATGCACCATTGTTAAGCCCCACCTTAAACATTTTATTAACCAATCCTAATTGGAAACTGTTGTCATCTGCCATTTTGTCTAAGAGTTGTATAATAAAGGTCCTGTGTCTTTGGGTCATTTGTTTTATACAGAAGTAATTCTAATGTAAAAGCCTTTATAGATATCTAAAATGTGCATGCAAATGCACCATTGTTAAGCCCCACCTTAAACATTTTATTAACCAATCCTAATTGGAAACTGTTGTCATCTGCCATTTTGTCTAAGAGTTGTATAATAAAGGTCCTGTGTCTTTGGGTCATTTGTTTTATACAGAAGTAATTCAAAAGTATGGAAATAAAAATGTAGCTGGAGCATGTGTAAAAGTGGTAGGCTATACAAAGAGGACTCAGATAGGTTTTTGTCCTGTTCTATATCGTTATGTTGAGACGTGTGTGCTGTGTGTTAGCCTTTATTTACAAATGAACACATGTAAAATCAGTAGCTAAGGATTTGT